ATTGAAATTATTTATTAGTTCTGAATTGTGTTAAAAACAGGTAGATTTTAGAGAAGTACGTTTCTATAGGGTACTTTTCTATCGTTGGTTAATATTAGATAACTAACATTTATAGACTTTATTTCGGTATTTTCATTATATCCACTTCCATGCCACGCCGTAATGTGTCCACCACCTATTTGTTGACGGTTCAATCATTTTTCCAATTGTCGTGCACGTCAATAATAATTCCAATCTGAACCGTACAGATGAAATTCTTTTTCATCCATAAAAATGACACTTTTCCGATTTTTCTGCCACCGAATATGTTGGATTACAAAACTCAAACGATCCTATTTATATCAAGTGTTTAATGGTGATTTCTTCCGTCGTAAATATATACATTCTTTAAACATTTTTAACATTTAATTGTACACTAATTAATCCCGTAACTCACTTTACTGTTGTAAATAAATTTTTCCCACCATTCTTTTGTCAATAAATTCGACGCTTTGCTTTATTCTTTTCTATACATTTTTAACATACTGTTTCGCTACTTCCATTTACGATGTTTTCTTTTTAGTGCAAAAAACAAAAATATTATATTAAATTAAAATATTCTTTGGCGTCCGTTTCACTTTGTAACATTACTAACGACATTGACGTAATAATGTAATAGCCAGGAAAACATCAACCCTGACCTAACCCAGACACAAAAAAATCGAAAAATTTGCAAATTCAATTACCTCGACAACAAAGCCTTCAACGAAAAAATGTTACTCTTCGTTTTCAATTTGTTTTTCAAGCACAATAGAATTCAAATTGTATCACTGACGTTGTGACACCCTGTATAAAGAATGTTAGAAACAGCGATGGTCCAACATTTTGAACCATTCATATCGACCAAACAATCGAGTGTGTTCGTTCGTGTAATTCGCAACAAAAGTATTTCGAATACTTCGCGTGGCCTCTGGCGAGAATCTTTATTTAGAGAAGAGATTGGACCGATGATGTTGCGAGAGTTTCCTGCGCGTGATGTAACTTCCGTTGTCCGTACTTTGTCTTTCCCGACTGCTGAGACAACCTTTGCTGTCTAGTACTGGAATCCCCGGAATTTTCCAAGTTAGCACGGAGCTCCCGTGATCAGAAAATCCGGATAGATATTTGACCCGTCTGCCAGTACAGAAAAGTCGATATAATTCCGTTGGTTATTGCTAGCTGAAAACGATCTCGACTTTTCCTAAAGAGTCTGCCTGTCAATTTCAATGGCAATTACGATTCGTGATTTATCGGCTGTTTGAAATGTGATTCAAATTTAGCCCAAATTTTTCTATTCCTCGACTGAAACTTATATAAGAGACTTTTTCAATAGATGATGAAAATGGCCGAGCGCTAAAAAATTAATTCTGAATTGTAATTAAAAGAAGTGAGTTGGTATTTTTTGATTGTAATCGTAACTTTTTTGCCACAGAATTAAATTAATTGCAATTTTTTTAAATTCCTTAAAGTAAATATTAACGATTAATTGTATATTAACGTAAAAATGCTAAATAAATAAAATTGTGCGTAATATTTCGTGGTCCTTTTGTAGGAACTTATGAAAATAATTCTTAAACTGGTTTGCGAATCACTGGAAATATCGGTATTCCCAATACAAACCCTGAGACTGTAAGATTCTTTGTAAGAGTTCAGGAAATATGTGAATTTTTCCCGACATCGGTGAAGCGTTGGAAAATTCTTAAGAAATATATTTCTTCTTCGACATTAAAACTTCCTGCAGAAACTCGATGGTAAAGACACATTAAATTCGAGAAATACACGATTCGTTGTATGAAATATGCGACATAATTTTTTAAATCAAATTAATCCTACAAATAAAATGAAAGTTGATATCGCCTTTGAAGCCTACGAAACATTTTAAGTAATTTCTTATCAATTCGCGCACTAATTATAACTTCGAGCTATTGCTTCGAACTACTTGACAACTTTACCAAGATCTGAAAGGAGAAGCTGAGTTCCAAACAGCAGCTCAACTTTGTCGGAGAAAGAAGAGTATGCAATTTCAGTACGAACACGCAGATGAATCTTTGCAATCGCTAAAATCTCAAGTGAATTTTTTCTATGGATTTCTAGACATTATGATAACTTCACTAAATATGTAATAACCGGTTCACATTAATGTCACACTAATGATATACAAATTTATCCTTTGAATAAAAAGAGCCTTAAGAACTTAATTGTTCAATGAACCCTTCGAATACGTTTAATAGGTTAAGTGCCATGCCACCCATAAACAGGGGTTCGGCCACCCCTGTGAAAAATTTCAATGGGAGATTCGAGAGGCCAAAATAAGACGAAAATCAAGAATATCAATTTCCTGATTAAGGCCTCGTCAAAAAGTTATTAAAATATTAACTTAAAAACTTTCAAATCATTCTGGAACAATTATTTTCGGTTACGGGGGTTAATTACAATCATTTTTGGTGAATAGACATACCTCTAAAATCTTACGCACTTTCGAAAAAAAATTCTTTACCGAAAATGTAATGTCTGACCATACATACCATTTTTTCCTAAAATTTCATGTGTATGTTTAAAACATGACTTCTGAACGGATTGGAGCATTTTAATGTTTCAAAATGCAAACAACGCGTATTTTGGTGAAGAATATGTAGATATTTCAAGAATCTTGGATAAGTTGTTGCTTAACCACGTAAAGTGAGAAAAACCCTGCGCTGAAATTTTTCGCCGAAAAAAAAATTTCAAATCGTTCTGGAAAAATTATTTTTGGTTGCAGGGATCAATTACAACCATTTGTAGTCAATATACATATCCTCGAAACCCTACGCACTTTCGAGAAAAAAATTCCTTACCGAAAATATAATTTCAGGTCAGAAATGTCACTCCAAAATGTCATGCGTATCTTTAAAATGTCATAACTTCTGAACGGATTGAAGGATTTTAATATTTCGAAAGGCCAATAATGCGTATTTTAGTGAAGAATATGTAGAAATTCTAATAATATTGAAAAAGTTGTTCCTTGACCACGTAAAGTAAGAAAAACCACATAAAAATAGTCCAATATTCAAACAGCCATAACTCCTACAATAATGAATATAAATTCAATGAAACTTTTTTCTGGAGTAGAGCTCATGGATACCTACACAAAAATATTAGACAACTTTTCTGTAGGGCGTCAAACAAAATTATTAAAAATGAAAAACGAATTTTTAAGAAAAATCAACAGAGGTGCCTTAATTTTTCAGGGAAAATGAAAGGTTTCTAATCGTTCTGGAAAAATGATTTTCGATTGCGGGGGTCAATTACAATCATTTTTGGTGAATAGACATACCCCCGAAACTCTACCCACTTTCTAGAAAAAAATTCAGTACGGGCGGAACTTTAAACGTTAATAACTTTGTAACCAAGCCTCCATCAACAAATTAGTTCTCTTGATTTTCGTCTTATTTTGGACTCTAGAATCTTGCATTAAAATTTTTCCCAAGGATGGCCGAACACCCTATATGTATAAATGACAAAATATTTTATTAAACTAAGATATTTACTTAACTGTTTCTTCGAACTCCTTGTGACAAAAAAAAAGTTTTAAAATTTGTAATAATAAATATATACGTACAATTCTCTAGATTCATATGTTTTTTAAAAATACATTTCATTTAAATGTATTAGTTACGTAGTGAATCTATTCGAGTTCTTCGTGTTAGGACGATGGATCTGTTCCAAATAAACAATCGAAATCACACCCACATTTAGTGTTGTATTTACAGACAGAAATATACATCAATTGAACCGAAGAACGAGTATGGTTCACGCAGAAAGAAACGCGTAATTGGTCCGCGCGTGACCAATAGAAGCACACCGCCAAGACCGCGAGTTTTAAACTGTGTAACGGTTCGTACATTCGAAAGACGAAGCGTGGTCACAGAAAAATAGGTTAGTTAATGAAAATGAAAAGGAGGATCACTAAAGCAAAGACAAAAGTCATTCTTTCGATAGATTCCATTGATTACACTTACATGCAGAATCTACAAAGAACTTTTGATGATTTGTAATTAATGGAAACGGCTTCTGCAAAACATAATTACGATTGATTTAGATAACTGCGATATGGAAGATTACGTTAACAGACATCGATTGAGAATTGGTGCAGCCAATAATTACAGCGATAAAAAGGAAAATATTACGGGAATCGAGGATAAGCCACAAACTAAAGTCTCGAAACCTAATTTTTACAGAGGTGAAAACAAAAACAGAGCGATCGTAAAATTCTGGCATGAAAAGGGGATTTGAAAGTCTGGATTACGCGTACAAGACTTGAGAATTTTCCATTTATCGCCTTTCTTGCATGAACGCGTACAAGAATTCGATACGGGAATATGGGTGAATTGGCAGAGCTCCTTTTCTTCCTCCTTCCCATTTTTATCTCTGTCTCTTCCACAATGAATCTATAGAGGGGAGTGGTGGGTGGAATCCTGTTCCATAGGAAACTTGAATATCTAATCGACAGTGCTGCTTATTCATGCATGTATATATATATATAAAGGGAAAATCGTCGATTCGGGGATGCATTTCACCAAGTATTCGTTACTAATTTCTACTGGAATTTCGTATTAACAGGACCCGTGGTAACGTTGATCGAAAAATCACTGAAAATATTTCTCTCATTTAGCACGTTTCAACATACCCAACGATTATATAGGATGATCTCAGGATATAGCTAACAACCTTTTCTAAGTCTATAATAGAAATTTCTATAAGACATAATTGACTGCCAAAAGTCTATTTCAATAAACGATTTAAAAACAACAAAAAGTTAAACGATTCAAATTGATCAATATTTTTCTAGACACCCCTATACAAACAAAACGTAAACAAAATTAATCATTTTTGGATTCCATCGAATATGTTCATTATCGTCCTGAAATAAATAGTCCCCTTCTACCGATCCATTGAGTGTAATAAAATACAATAACTAGTTTTTCAATCTACCTTTGTTTTAGGTCAAATAACTCCGGAAATCTTTCCAGAGTTCTTAGCTCCCTTGGAGAATCATACGGTAATTCAGGGTCGTGACGTTTCCTTTACCTGTGTCGTTAATCATCTGCAACAATACAAGGTAAATTTAAAAATAATCACAAGCCTGCAAAGTGTCCAATAAAATGTTACATCTATTAGAGTTACCAATGCTGCAACAACTTCTATACTAGTTTAACTTTCTCTGACAAATTAGTCGGAACTGTACACCTGGTAAGACTCTCGCTGACTATGGTAAAGCGATTAGATAGCAGAGTTGTAAACTGCGTAACCGCTTGAATTTCGTCTGCGTTTACACTTGTAATGTAATTACGAATTCGTACAGTTTCCTGCTGCACTGCTAGGTATGCGAATCGTACGAGGTGTTCAAGTTTATGAGCTTTTCAGATCGATGTTGGAATCCATACGAGAAACGTGTCATTAGACATAGCAGCTACAGCATCAATTGTGCTTTCAAATAGAATCGAAGAAACACGCGAATACGAATTTGTCATTAATTTATGCTTCGGAATTTTACGTCAGATCTCCGCTTCAGATTCTATTCCATAGAAAATTTTCAATTTTTATACGTTACTGTTAAAATAATGCGCCATATTTGAAATTATATTAAGAGCCGATATTTGACTAAACATTTTTGTTTCATAACTATGAAAATAGCAGAGTATTTTTGATAAACAATTTTCTAGGCATAGAAGTAATTTGTATTTGGCGGTAAACGCGCAGAGCTGTCTAGCAGGAAATTACTAATTCAAGGCAGCGGTTGATGTTGAATGAACGTGCTAAAATGTATAATTAGTAGAATATAGTAGAAAATTAAAGGAAAACAGTACAGAGTGCAACTATTCATCCCCTAAATATTAAAGAATACAACATAAATTAATATTGTCTTGAGAATGAGATAGAATTAAATAATTTATTCCAAACGCTATCGTTTCCTCACTATTTTGCCAGAAAGTGCGTTCGAGTTGCTGGTAGATGGTCAGACAAAAGTCTTCTAAAGTGCAAAAGGATTAATAATGTACGCATTTTCTAAATTTTTAAAAAATATATCAAGGTTATCCTTCCATCTTTTTTATATTACCAACATCTTGCGTTTATTTCTTGCACATAAATGTATAGCAAACTCGTCAATATATGTTGACAACCGTGTAGCCCACCACACAACTGATCGAGCACCCTACAAAGCAAACATCCCTTGCAGCAGAGAATGCACGTAAAACATACCTTATGTGACGCTCGCTTAACATAGATTGATGCAAGAAACGAAGTATCAATGTATAAGCAATTTAAGTTTTTCCGTATCCATAAAGTTCTCGCAGGTGCAAACTTTAACTGACTATTTTTCGAAAATCAAGTCGTATATTGCAAAATGGAATTATAAAAATTACTATTTTTAAACATTATATATGAAGAACATATTTTATAGAAAAATATTTAGAGGAAAATAAATAAGTAAAGGCCATTTTATTTACACTTTCACCGGTATGAATTATTTAGAACTATACATTTTGATACCTATGATAATTTCGTTATAAGGTTTCTGTATAATGAAATATAAATATAATTATAAGGGCTTTTAAAACTCTTTTCTCAGGTGGCCTGGATAAAGTCAGATTCACGAGCAATCCTAGCAATACACACGCACCTAGTAACACATAATCCACGACTCTCGGTCACGCATAATGGTCACAACACGTGGATGTTGCACGTGTCGAACGTTCAAAAGAACGATTCAGGGGCCTACATGTGCCAAGTGAACACAAATCCTATGAGAAGTCAGGTAAGCATAAATTTCTTTCACCCCAATAGTAATATTTCGACATAATAGTAATCATTTATTGTTTGTTGTTGTACGATAATACACGGTACAATTAGTTATTAACAATTTCAGGGTCGTTTTTGTAACGTTGGTTGCCACAGTGTAAAAATAATATCGCTGCCTTTATTAATATAATATTATTTAATTAAGAATTTGATATTTACATACATAGATAATTTTAAATAGTTACCAACTAAACAAAATTGTTTTTGAATTTCTTTTCATAAAATAAAACAGTATTTAAACTGTATATAGATTTTATATTAATTAAACAATAAAATTCCTATCGATAAACATTACGTAGGTCCTTTAGAGTCGTTTTTATAAACAAAAAGAATCATGTCTACAAAGTACAGAACTCAACCTGAAAAATTTTGAACCTACTGGGATTTGCTCTTGCCTTGTTAAGCATAAAAAAAATTTCAATGATTAAAAAATAGGTACTTGGAGCATGGAAGGGGGTGGGTGGTGCAATTACTCCTTTGCATTCTAGATATGCCACTAAATCTCTCTATAACCCGCTTATTCTTTGAAGAGTAATCTGAACCCATGAAATTAAAATTGAATTAAAAAATCGCCGTGTCTTAGGAGATAGATTTACGTAATTATTATGAGATAGGACATCACCGATTATTTGTAATGGCTAATAGATTCAAAAGAAGTTTGGTGTTTATAGTAGTATAGAAATTTATTTACGAATAACGAATAGAAAATTCTAGACTTCGCTTGAATGTCGATTTAAAAAATCCGGCATTAAACTATAATTTGCAAATTAATTTACAGTACGAAACGGGAATAAAAATTAAATTGCAAATTACTCTAGAATTAGCCCAACTCTACTATTTTAAGAAAGGGTATAGCCGAATAAGGGGGTCAAATGTGCCCCCAAACCGAATGGAACGAGCCACGGGTCATTCGATAGCAAAAAAAAAAAATAACCCCTGTGTGCAAATTTTTAACTTGAAATCTCGACCGTGGGGGTAGTAATGGGGTGAAAACGAAAATCATGTTTTTGAATTATTTCTCTTGACCTATTGAGTAAAAAAATGTAAAAAAATTCAGAGACATTTCGGGTACCGGGGCACATACTTTGGGAGATTTTCAGATTTTTTGATTGAAGAACCAGGTAGTGAAAAATAAAAAACAGCAAAAAATGCCGAAAAATGCCGATTACGTATTGAAGGAGGCCCGGAACTACTTTTATACTTTTACAGTAAACAGGTATTACTATTACTATTACTCTCAATTTTTTTCAGATTTTTCATTTTGGTGCGCCGCAGTGAAAAAAAATAAAAACCGAGTTTTTCCTCGTTTTCTGCGTATTAGAGTAACTTACACGTTGAATTTTTATGCATCCTTCAATATATAAGTGTTTTGTAGACTGTTTAATGTTTCTACACTAAGCAGAATTACATAACAATTGAAACAAATAAAATAAAGCCAACCATTGGGTCTATATATCCTAAAAAATCAACGATATTTTCAACGGCGTCGATGGCGCAGCGTTAGAGTGTCCGACTGGTGAACCGCTGGAAGTTTTTTACCGTAGGTTCGAGTCTCTCTTCTGGACTTAGTATTTTTTTTTCTTCATTATTTTTTTTTTCAAATTCTAACTATATAACAATGCTTTATATTTATTTATAAATGTTCTGATAGCATTTTACAAATATTTTAACCTGAAATATGTATAAATATAGTCTTGAAGTGTTTTTTGCGTTTTTATTTTTTTTGTCAACCACGATTATTGTTTAACATCTCTTACACTGAAATTAATGTGAAATGTTAGTTTTCAAATCTCTTACCTTTGACTATTGTGAATGGATGGGAGCAGAAGATTGTATATTGGCTTACTATTACTTCTTCTCGCCCTTCGATCAAGCAGATCTTTCCTTCTCGTTCTCTTTCTTTGATAAATATGAATGTTTGCTGCGGCTTTAGTATCTAACGTAGACATGTAAGGGCCATTCCACGCCAAATCTATTAACCCACTCTCTGCCAATGATACTTTTTTCTAATAAACCCATTTTTAAGTACCAGTTTGATCGTTTCATGCTTATTTTTGAATGAAGTATCATTGCTCGATGGAAACCACGGGGAAAAATGATTAATTGTCCTACCTGCGTTACGAAGGAAATAAAGGTTCGTTGGGTGAGGGCCCAGACCGTTCAGGTCAATGGGTGATTGTCGCGTTCGGGTTTCACAATGTATTTTTTAATTACTCAGTTCAAGCTACTGTATGCGATGGGATTTATACATAATTACTTGGCATGGTCCGTAGAGGTTGGTCCTACAAGTGTTTTCATTATCTTTAAAACCAGCAGTAAGGAAAGGATAATAACCCTTACATGTCTACGTTCGATACTAAAGCCGCAGCAAACATTCATATTTATCAAAGAAAGAGAACGAGAAGGAAAGATCTGCTTGATCGAAGGGCGAGAAGAAGTAATAGTAAGCCAATATACAATCTTCTGCTCCCATCCATTCACAATAGTCAAAGGTAAGAGATTTGAAAACTAACATTTCACATTAATTTCAGTGTAAGAGATGTTAAACAATAATCGTGGTTGACAAAAAAAATAAAAACGCAAAAAACACTTCAAGACTATATTTATACATATTTCAGGTTAAAATATTTGTAAAATGCTATCAGAACATTTATAAATAAATATAAAGCATTGTTATATAGTTAGAATTTGAAAAAAAAAATACTAAGTCCAGAAGAGAGACTCGAACCTACGGTAAAAAACTTCCAGCGGTTCACCAGTCGGACACTCTAACGCTGCGCCATCGACGCCGTTGAAAATATCGTTGATTTTTTAGGATATATAGACCCAATGGTTGGCTTTATTTTATTTGTTTCAATTGTTATGTAATTCTGCTTAGTGTAGAAACATTAAACAGTCTACAAAACACTTATATATTGAAGGATGCATAAAAATTCAACGTGTAAGTTACTCTAATACGCAGAAAACGAGGAAAAACTCGGTTTTTATTTTTTTTCACTGCGGCGCACCAAAATGAAAAATCTGAAAAAAATTGAGAGTAATAGTAATAGTAATACCTGTTTACTGTAAAAGTATAAAAGTAGTTCCGGGCCTCCTTCAATACGTAATCGGCATTTTTCGGCATTTTTTGCTGTTTTTTATTTTTCACTACCTGGTTCTTCAATCAAAAAATCTGAAAATCTCCCAAAGTATGTGCCCCGGTACCCGAAATGTCTCTGAATTTTTTTACATTTTTTTACTCAATAGGTCAAGAGAAATAATTCAAAAACATGATTTTCGTTTTCACCCCATTACTACCCCCACGGTCGAGATTTCAAGTTAAAAATTTGCACACAGGGGTTATTTTTTTTTTGCTATCGAATGACCCGTGGCTCGTTCCATTCGGTTTGGGGGCACATTTGACCCCCTTATTCGGCTATACAATTTGATTTGTAATCTTTGAATCTTCGGTAAACTTGTTTTCATAAAATCCACCAGACTTGAACGCTATACACAAGGATAGATGCAGGTTTTATGTAGTTGGACTCTTTGACAGCTTGCTATTACGTCTTACAAAGGGCTCTAAGTGCTCCCTTTTAACGCGTTTGCATGATCAGAGTTTACGTCAAAGATATAATATCGATGTATACCGAACAATGATTAATTATTGCTGTCTAGGAGAAAGTTATTAAAAAGGACAACTTCGCATATATCTATATTTTAAAGAAGAACATTCAAAGAAAATACAACAGACAAGTTTTTTCCACAACTTTTGAATAAATGCAATAAAATTCTATGCAAATGTCAGAGTTTTTATTTTTGTGAAACTGTAACAAAATAGACTGTCTCATAATTATGTTGTATTATATTATATTTTTATATACATATATAAAATATACAGGGTGTTCGGCCACCCCTGGGAAAAATTTTAATGGGTGATTCTAGAGGCCACAATAAGACGAAAATCAAGAATACCGATTTGTTGATGGAGTCTTTGTTAAAAAGTTATTAACGTTTAAAGTTCCGCCCGTTCTGAATTTTTTTCTCGAAAATGCGCAAGATTTCGGGGGTATGTCCATTCACCAAAAATGATTGTAATTGACCCCCACAACCGAAAATAATTTTTCCAAAACGATTTGAAATATTTTTTTCCATCGAAAAATTTCACACCTTCTCGAATTTTTTTCTAGAAAGTGGGTAGGAATTCGGGTGTATGTCTATTCACCAAAAATAATTGTAATTGACCCCCGCAACCGAAAATAATTTTTCCAGAACGATTTGTCTTATATTTTTAGATGGCTTTGAGATAATTTATAAAAATCAGGTGCTTCGGTTCTATTTCATAGACGGTTATTATTGCATGTTACTGTCTTATTCGCGTGCACACCGATTATTAAAATGGGTCGTCTGTATTATACATGGCACATGAACTTACACTAGCAAAAATAATTTTCCGCTCTAGAACGAAACACCCGAGACCCTTTGCACTTTCCGGAGAGTCCTTACGTAATGCAGTTTCTACACAGTTACTGTACATAATTAGTTTGAGCCGAAAGTACTTCGCACATCTACCATCCTCGTGAAATGGAATTTAAGAAAGGTTAATCGACAGACGCATACTAAACTTCTAATTTGTTCTGCTGAACTGTACAAAAAGACTTTGAAACGGAATTATTGAAACCATCATTCCAGTACAGAAATACATAGAAACGTAGACTTTGAAGAAATCGAAAAATATTTTAACGGCAAGAATTTTTAAATTTTTAAATTTAAAAAAGAAAATCCTTCTCTCAAATTTCAATGTGAGATGGCTTAACAAGGATAGTACAAGACCTTCGTGTCCCTGATTTTGTCGAAACTCTGAACACTAGTTACAAAAATGTACCCATGTATATGGTTAGATAAATTTTTACTAACATGAACAAAATATTGTTATGAACACAGAAAAACTTATTTGCAACTTGTTTCTATTTTCGTTGCACCAAACATAGTTGGATAATCTATAAAAAAAAGGCAGATAATTTTTAAACCGATTTTGTCAATGTTGCGAGAATGTGAAGGGGTTAATTCACTGTTAAAAATTGTTTACATAGTACTGTTATTGTATTTACTGATTTCAAAATATATTATAACTTTTATGTTTTCAGAAAGGATACATGGACGTGGTGATACCCCCAGACATCATGGATGATGAATCTGCTGAGGGTATGGTAGCGCAAGAAGGCGGTAACATAAGATTAAGGTGCGTCGCGACCGGTTCACCAAAACCCACAGTCACGTGGAGACGAGAAGACGGCCGGAATATTATTCTCAGGGAAGATGGACAGAAACAATGTAAGAATTCAGCTTCTAAATTTGAATTTAATTCTAAATTTTTGTTAGAAATATAAAAAAAGCAATAAAATAGTCACTTCCATTTGCAACAACTTATCTGGCTGAAAGTGGACATCCAACACTGGCCGTTACAAAAAAATAAATTCAGAAAATGGCGTTAACTAATTCTATCGAAAAATCAATAAATTAATTGAAAATAAACAACAACAACGAAGTTATTAGATATTATCACGTATTATTTTGTTCATAGTTTATGTGACAGTTTTTGATAAATATAATTCAAACTACTTTAGTGATTTTTATAATTCTCAACCAGCTTGTCTTATATAAATTGTCTGAAAGTCTCATATTTTTCCATAGTTAAATTTAAATAATACAAAATGGCATTACAGCATTTGTTACAAATCGAAATGTACTGAATATTACTTCTCATATACATATGTATACTTTTGTTTATTTACTTAATATGCAACGACTACACTCGGTCAGCTTCTTAGAAACAAGGAATCTTTAATATGAATTACAACTATAACGCGTACCGATAAATATTACGATTATACGTACAAATTCTGTCTGTTCCACAATTAGGGAAGGAGAAAGACGGAAAACAAGACAAATTATTTGGAAGTTTGAAGGGAAAAGGATCTCGTGGAGTTAAGAAAGGATTCGCGTAGCTTAATGGTGTGAATAAAGATGTCTGGTGGTAACCCTTCGCTCCGCCCCAGCAATATTTCTTCTGCATCGTTAAACGGCCTTACGTTTAAAGAGAGTTAATTAAAATCATAAGCCATAAAATACGAGTTTACTTTAGAGACTGGGCTCGCGTCTGATAATTTCGTTGATATTCCCGTTATGCCAGCCGCCTTGGTGAGCCGCGAGTTGAAATATCGCTCTGGAAAGTATCGCGCAACGCGTCAATGGAGAATAATCGATTGTCTCGTGGCTCATTGTCGTTAATTAATTACCTTGTGGACGGCGATTTACGTCCCAATGTGTGCACGGAACATTTTACGGTCGCGTTTTATTACCGAATAAGTGTCCTGCGCATTGATATCATGTGGATATTAAGTTTCCTATATCAAACCCACTGCTATATTATACATTCGATTTCCGCTGTCAAACTCAATTGCAATGTTCTCTATTCGTATGTATTCCCACATCGTTCATTCCATTTTTATTACAACATTCACTATTTTCACAAAAGAGAATAATTCTTAAAGTGTGAGTAAATCAATGGAAAAGGGACTGGATCACCAAAAACAGACATTATTTACTAAATGTTTTGAAATATTAGTCAAGTGTTACGAGGAATCTACTAAGATGTGCGATGTGACTTGTCTGAGATGTCCAGCGAATCTGTCACAGACTTTTTTTTTTTTTTTTTTTTTTGTTATTATTCCTGTTTAGCTGCAGTACCTGGGGCAGGGGACCCTTTAACCTGCATTTAGGATAATTATTAGTGACTGGTATATATTTATGTAATGTGGGGTTATGTATTTCATGCGTTCAGGCTCGAGGGATTGGGGGTCCGCTATTTATACGGGCGCGCCTCTGGTTCCCTCCGACAGAGTGCGTAGGCATCGTCTTCCGATTCTACAACCGCCTCGCCGATTTCTGAAACGCTCAACGCGTGTGATCGCTACAAAGCAATTCGGCGTTTAAAAGACACGTCGAGGCAATGAATGCGACTACAAAGCGTTGGACGGTCAATTGATGTGACCGTTCAGGTCTCCTTTTTCCCCCTCGCGACGCGACAAGACTTTTAATACGTATTTCAACGCGCTGATATTTGTTGCGATACAAGTTTCGATACAAACAATGGGTTTAAGCTGCTGAATCATTCACTCCTCACCGATTTGGATGATTTTTAAATGTGTTATAGAACTCGACATACCAAACAAGTATGTAGTTGCAAAATTCTATCGATACTACTACGTTACATTATAACAGAATTTTGCAAATATCCCGGAAACTAAAGCCGAGCGTGGGTTATATCTATGATAAAAACTTGTTTAGAATGTCGAGTTCTATAACTTATTTGAAAATCATTGTTCAGCGCGCACACTTATCTTTTTCGTTCTGTGATGCGCTTCAAGCGGTAACTTAATAGCGTTTGAATATTTGGTGGTTGGTGTAATGATTGAGATACAATTAACTATTTTAATATTTAATAATCTATCTTAGTCTACTACAGTGCGGTCTTCACTTTTCTTGTTTAACTTTGCTAGCTGGTTTAAAAAATGTGTATTTGATGGTAACCGATTCAAACTTTTTGTTGTTATATCTCTCCCCGTCAGAAAAGCTACCCTTAAATACAAATCGGCCTTGGGTTCTGACGGAGATGAGGCACGCGGATTGGCTGTTGTGGTATTTTGAATTTTGTCAGGAAAGGCGGTCGTTTTCCCTGATTGGAGAAGTATTTGTCGAAAATATTACAGGTGACCGCCTCCAAGCCATCGGGCACCGTTAGGTACCGAGGGCACCATCGAATGACGTCCGGGAAATTCCGCGTGCCTCGACCGTAGCAGGTAATAATTTTTATGAAGCGCCTTGACCTTACTAAGACATGCAAGACGAAATAAAACTGAAAAATGTTTAAGCAAAAAATAGAGAACCAAATTGCGGATTATAAAACGGCGTGGAAGACAACCGATGGTCGATGGCTTCATTAACTTATTCTTGCTACGGGTCAGGGGGGTTTCTTTAGACCTTTTGGTGGGCGTACATGGGCCCCGCTGTAATTAATGTTGTTACTTGGTAACAATCATCCAAATCGGTTAAAAGTCCCCTATGCCAAGTAATCATTACAACAAGCTCTTAGGATGCAGAATTCGGCAGAGTTTTGTTTGAATACAATATTTTGAATACGACTTTTGTTTTAGCAATGGGTTTAAATTCGTAGCTCTTGTAATGTAAAAAAATGATGATTCAACTCATATCGCAACAAATATCAGTAGGCTGTCTAATAGACACTTGTAGAAGCTCAGTGAATGTGGAATGATTGATGGTACAATAAACCAATTATTTGAACTATTTTGTAGACATGTTCGAAGAAACAAAGTAACCTATTTTCTATTTTTGTTGCCGTGAATAACGGTTAATATCAGAGATATTTTCTATTTTTCAGCTATAAAATCTCACGTAGGCGAGACTCTGGAGTTGAGTGGCGTCCTCAGACAGGAGATGGGCACGTATCTTTGTATTGCCAGCAACAATGTACCTCCGACAGTCAGCAAACGTTATTCGGTTGAAGTCACTTGTACGTATAAACATAGTTGTTCGACATAGTGGATAATTGATAGTTACCATTCTCGAGTCGCATGCAAGCAGAAAATATTTCTCTAGAACGATACCTGTATTGTACATTTTTCGTAGAAACAAATATCGCTATATTTCCTCTGCTATTAAGCTTTACTAATATCTCAAGTTCTGCAAAATAATTATTTAAAGCACTTCTGTATTTCACATACATACATGTAATTAAATGTTTCTCATGTTTTCCGTATTAGCATACACTATAAATGCATACGATCCCCAGACTAATTAGAAGTTCATAAACAGTTTTAACATCGTTCTAGAATTTTCTGCAATTTTGTTAATTTCCTCGGCATATGTACGGTTAAAGAGCGTATCTCTTAATCACGCACTCTTAAATACACGTTACTTTCATTTTATGACTGCCTACAGTGCTGTGTAAATACTCTCATGAGTTCATAGAAGATCATAAAAAAAAAGAACGCACAGTGGCTCACGGAAGTATTTAAACGCTTTCGAGCGAAATGTTTAGTAATTGAAAAACGGAAGTTATATTCTAATTTGTAAAATACTTTAGTAATTAATAAAATTCAGTTTGAAAAGTGTTTATTTATGTTAAACAACATTAAAAATCAGGAAAAATGATAGAAAAATAATATTATATTGTACTGCATCGAATATTTTATAATGTTATGATTTCATCGTACAACTTTTCTTAATTCTTTCATTTATTATTGTTTATTTTTCGTTTCCAAGTGATTTACAAAAAGAGATTAGTTTAATATCATTGCCTAGTAGATTTTTAGGAAAATGTTATACAGGGTGTTCGGCCACCCCTGGGAAAAATTTTAATGTCAGATTCTACAGGCCAAAATAAGACGAAAATCAAGAATACTAATTTGTTGATTGAGGCTTCGTTAAAAAGTTATTAAACAATTAAAGTAAAAAATTTCAAATCATTCTGGAAAAATTATTTTCAGTTGCCGGGGTTAATTACAATAATTTTTGGTGAATAGATATACCCCCAAAATCCTAAGCACTTTCGAGAAAAAAATTCAAGTAGGTGCTGAAATTTTTGGGGGAAATTAAAAAATTTCAAATTTTTCTGGAAAAATTATTTTCGGTTGTGGAGGTCATTTACAATCATTTTTGGTGAATAGACATACCCCCGAAATCCTACGCAATTTCGAGAAAAAAATTCCTTACCTAAAATATAATGACTGACCATACATGACATGTTTCACTGAAATTTTATGCATATCTTTAAAAAATCGTAATTTCTGGACGGATTGAAGGATTTTAATGATTCAAAATTGAAACAATGCGTATTAATGGAGCTCTAGAGCCCGTTCTACAGGCAGAACTTTAAATGTTAATAACTTTTTAACGAAGCCTTAATCAACAAATTAGTATCCTTGGTTTTCGTTTTATTTTGGCCTCTAGAATCTCCCATTTTAATTTTTCCCAGAGATGGCCGGACGCTCTGTATATGGAAGGATTTCAGACAAAACTACACAAAAATTCTTTTCAACAAGATATTTACTCTCACCAGTTAATAGATGCTATATATCTGCACTGTGGAAATTCCAATACTTAAAAAGGAAAACATTCTATTGATCTCTTCTCTGCATAAAACAACTAAACATTAAATTCAAAGTAATTTTTAAAAGAATTTCAAATTGTACATTTACTTAATTATTAATAGAAAAAGAATGTTTTAGACGCTCTTTTAGATTTCTGTGGGGGTAGCCAAGGGTTAAAATTCTTTCATTTTGTTTTTGTAATAGTTACATAGAATGACCTTACAACCTGGAGAGTAGGAAATAATACATCATATTATTAATAAATTGATATTCGAAATTGAAACGAGGAACGTTAATTATGTTCGTGTATTTTGCTATTCATACTAATTACGGCAATGTTTGTACTTCTGTGTACACGGCCGCTTTAATTACAAACCGACAATATCCGTAAAACAGCTGTGAAGCGGGACATTAAATACAGAAGTTTATTTAACACGACAAGTAGGAATGCTCAAAGCGACGAAATTACGTACAATTTTTATAGAATTAACATCGAATATACGAACAACCGAATAGCTGTACGAAATTGCACCGAAATCACAATTATTCGTGCAATGTGATTCCCAGCATTTCAATTTTTCCTTTTACCATAATAACAAAACCATAAATAGTTTACAGATATATTAATTTTATCGTTTCTTCGTTTATTTTTACGATATTTTTACCATTATAAACAAACCGATTGTTAATTGTTATTAATGTTTTTATATTGTACATATTGCAATAATGTTATAAAATATTGGATACTCTTTTTTTATCATTTCTCTCTCTCTTTTTTATAATCTTGCCCATTCAAATATTTGACAATATACAACATAGATTACCTATTTGTTCAATCTCTTATGCGTTACTTTATAATAATTAATTTCTTGTGCCTGATAATCTGAAACTTGGAGCAGTTGTTTATACTTGTTTCGTATTAATTTACATACAAGAAACAAAATAGATGTTCATTATATACTAAATTATATTAACCCAAGTATATTTTTGTTTCAGTTCAACCTGTTATAAAAATAACAAGTGAATTAATAGCTGCACCATTCGACAGCAACGTTGTTCTTCAATGTCACGTCGAAGCATGTCCACGTGCAATGAACACTTGGTATAGGAATACAGGTAACAAACACATCCTTTTTTCAAATCTTTCAAGATACTACTCAAGTTCAATATACTTTTAACGATAAATTTATTCATAGATAAATATAAGTCACCATTAGTTTTGATATAAAAGAGTCTAATATTTAAAATAATTTTTTAAACAATTAATAAATTTTATTAGTTTCATTATTTTGCCAGATAAATTTAGAATTTGCTAAATATATTTTTAAAATGTAAATAATTAATTCTTTGTACAGGGGAGAAATTGTTACCCAGTGACAAGTATGCGATGTCAGAGTACTCTCTGAACGATTACACTTGGCAGATGAACCTCACTGTGAATTCTTTGGAGAAAAAGGACTTTGGAGAATACGTGTGCTCGTCTGTGAATGCTATGGGGAAGGCTGAAGGTGTCATCAGCTTACAAGGTACATATGTACATCATCGCACAATACAGGGTGTTTGGCCACCCCTGGAAAAAATTTTAATGGGAGATTCTAGGGGCCAAAATAAGACGAAAATCAAGAATGCCAATTTGTTGATTGAGGCTTCGTTAAAAAGTTATTAACGTTTAAAGTTCCGCCTGTACTGAATTTTTTTCTCGAAAATGCGCAAGATTTCGAGGGTATGTATATTGACAAAAAATGATTGTAATTGACCCCTGCAACCGAAAATAATTTTTCCAGAATGATTTAAAATTTTTTAATTCAATTTTTTAATAACTTTTTAACGAAACCTCGATCAAGAAATTAATATTCCTGATTTTCGTTTTATTTGGCCCCTAGAATCTCCCATTAAAATTTTTTCCAGGAGTAGCCGAACACCCTGTATAATAAAAAGATATACAATATAATATACATAGATATACTAGATAATTACAGAAACGTGACACCTCATACTTTTCAAAGGAAGAGCCTCATTCTCTTTGTATTTCCTAAAGCAATCGTAATAGACACTATTCCAATCCTATCTAATTAATTCCCTTCCTGATTCAGAGCTGCATCTTGTCGCGGAAACCACCCCCAACACTTACGCGAAGAACACCAAACAAAAGTCCCGGAAGATGCCAATATCCAAGGAGAAGAAGAAGAAACTCAACGGTAGGCGGATACACAGCGGTGGTTCCGACGATTTCGATTCTCCAGGAAGCGACGACGACCTTGGTACAACTCAGATTATGGCTGGAAGTACCGTTCAGGAGGGCCACAGAACGGAAAGGCCGCTCGCTTTGCCAACATTGTCGCCGCCATGGGTGATAGCAAGTGCTGCCAATTCCAGGCAGTATACGTTATCAGTCACTGCAATCCTCTTTTCGTTACTCCCCTCGACGATGATGTTTACTCTTTAAAAAGAAAAACACATCAACGTCGAGGAAATTTAACGATACCAAGGAAACTCGAAGATGATTCGGAAATAAGGTAGAAAATAAAACTATGATTCGTTGTTTACGAAAGACACGATCGTGAAAATACTGTTCATATCTGATAGAGAAACGTAGCTTTGCATTTTGCAATTGAAACACGATGACTGATGAAGCGTTTACAACTTAATATTTGAGCCACGCGTTGACGATTGATTACGCTGACCTTTTAAGTTTTAACTTACAATATCACAAAACTTATAATAATGTAAAAATGTAGAAATCATCTTGCTTTGATCAAACACGAGTTTTCATTAAACATTCAGCAGTAACAGGGTTGATTAATTCCTAATATCAAAACAAGTAGAATATACAAATATAATACAATTGATAAAGTTATCGATGGCTAAGGATTCTTAAATGCAGTTAAATTCTACATAAAAGCTCTTACTTTAAATATGCCGAGTTCCAAACGAATAAATTTATTACAAATCTCAACTCTTGCTGAATCAATAAAACGTAAATTCAACATTTTTCATGTATGCATTTAAGTTATTCACAGTTTACTTCAAACATGATACAACGAAGTTTATTATTACAATCTTTTTCGTTAGCTATAATTATAAAATGAATCATAGAAGTGCAAGAAAATTTTATATCGAAGTATAAGATTGATCAAAATATCCAATATATTTTGGCAGAACACAAACTTTTTAAAATATTTAATTTTCAATAATGAATAACTTAAGAAACTGTTAGTAACAGCAGAAAAAAAAAACAGTAAATAATTACATATTTATTTCATCATTTTATATGTCAGGTGATCAATAACAAATCAGTCAACGCTCCCATACAAAAGACCAGGAAACATATTCTGATATGTAACAATTGAACAATATTTTGGGGCATATTTGGTAAAAAAAAAAACAAAAAATTCTAATATGAAATCAAACATGAAAAGAATGTAGACAAATGGCGGAGCAATCTCTTGCGGAGAAAAACTATAAGTCTTCCTTTTATTTAATTTAACAATGGCATACTTTTAGATTCAACGAAGTATAGTTATTGCGGCGCGACCAATAAGAGAGACTTACTCTCAACGACATTTTGTAAATACGCGAGTGATAACGAATATCGACTGACGCGCTAGATTTTAGTGGTTGCGTGTAAATCAACGAACGATCGCACGAACTCTAAACGAAACAAGGAAAACTTTAAGTCTTCATATCGCAACGATTTACGAGGAACCGTGTTTGTTTAAAAGGTATACTTTTTGTTATTACGTTGTGAAATTATATAAATTTTAGTACTTTGTTGGATATTCCTTTTGATTAATAACGCGTTGTAAAACATTTATAAACATTTGGGCATGTTAAAAATAATTGAAATAGTCTTCCAACTCCTTCTCTTTGATCTTGTTGCATCTTATTTTCACTATTTTCGATTTCACATGTATTTTTTGCTGCACATCGAGGAATTTAAATTGTTTTAAATTGTATATATGTACATAAGTATCGTAACACTGTATGAAATATCTGACAATAGAGGATACTCTTGTTAAGAACGAAGTTTTCACGGATTCACATTATATATAATTAAAAAAAAAAAAAATGAGTGTGGCAAAGTATTACTGATATTGATCTATCAATACAAAGCCCAACAAAATTAAATAAAATTATCATTACGGAAAACAGCATATAAATAAATCTACATATATTGCTCTTGGACTGTACTTATTAAAATATTTCTGTTCACTTAGGGCCTAAGTGAGTACTACGAACACGTGTCTCTGAAATTGAATACGAATTTTCTTGCACATTCTGTGTAATAAAATTAGTAAAATTACGCAAGAACTGCAAAATGAAAGAGTAATAAAATACAAATTTTTTTGTTTATCGTTGGTAAATAGAGAAAATTTAATATATTTTAAGATGAATTATATTAGGAAAAATTTCCACCAATTCTGTTTGTACTTTTTTCAAATTAGAAACTGTAATCCAAAATTATCCTTTATCTGAAATTAAAATTAATATCCGTGCATCTGCAGTAGTTTCGATTATTATAAAAGTTATTTTACCAACGAACTATTTTTAGAGAATTTATCATTACATTTGTATTCCCTGCATTTTTATGTGCATTTCAGTACATATACATATTTTGTAAATCACCATTGAAATACGTATAGAAATTCTAATGTACACCGTTCGATTAATATTTATAATAATAATTGTGAAAATAATTATTATTATACTTTGTACAGTAACTTTTTGAGAAATTGACATTAAAAGATCATTGTTAAAGACTTATAGATTTTACTTGCGCATGATTTATTATTCAATTGTCGTTTGCGTGAATTCGTAAAAGTAACTGTATTCTTAAACATCTACGAAAGGATTATAAAATGGATTTGCGTTCACTATGCAACTATCCCTAAAATTGAAGGCTATAGTTTTATCAATATGGTTTATATCGTCCTCCTGAAAATTGGTTGATGTAATTAAAAATATATCCAATACAGAGATATAAATGTAAAGAATTTATATACAAACAAATTTATTTTCTAAAATAGTATGTTCGTAGATATAAATTATTCCCTGATATTGTTACAACAATACAGAATTCAATTTTACAAAATGACAACCCTCAAAACGTATTTTGACATTACTATTAGTTTCGACATTCTCATGGATTTGTTTAATTGGTCACACTATACTAGAAGGAGCGTGTATCAATATGCACATTAAAGTAAATTTTTAATATACATATAGTTGCATAGTACATAACATTAGACTGTATTATGTGTTGTACAATCGAGAAGTAACAAATAAATACGATATTGGTAATATTGTTAATCAAAATGATAGGAAACTTTGTTTCGATACGTTTCAAATTTTACAAAACAATTGTGCAATTTTTGCTTTTAAGATATCTTTAACTCGTAAGCTTTAAGAAAAGAATATTTATGCAGGCTCCCATAAAATTGCATACTATTTTAAAGAAATGAAATATTAAAACTGAATTATTATTTATTTGCATATAAAAAGAAAACTATTCTATAAAATAAACACGAATTACCTTGTATTCTTCGTAGAAAAGAATCAACTGGAAGGGGTAAACTCGTACATTTAAATGCTAGCGATTAAGTATACGCATACCAAATGTAAATTGACCAAATTTATTTCGATCGCTTATTAAATAGAAAAACTACAATATTGTAGTCGATATGCAGAATGGAAGGCACGACAATAAGTATGGTATAGTTAAGTCCTGTTTGATTGGAAACTTTCTGGGCAACAGTATATGTTGTTGATAAAAATTATATTTAGAAAATACTAAACAATACTGCTCCATATAACGTTGCGATTCGGTACGCAAAATTATTTTACACTTTCTCCATTGATTTTCCTTCTAAATTCAGCATTTATTAACTATCATTTTAATTGTACAATATTTGATACTGCTAAACTTTTGTATTAAAGATGTCATAATTTGTTTACGATAATTTCTTCATATTTCAATTATTATTAAAAGTTGGATTATATAACTTATAAGCATTAACCCATTAATTCATAGAACTATTCTTTTTTTGTTTGACAAATGAGAAAGTGAATGAATCTACGTGAAAAAATAAATCGAAAATTTGAAGTGATATTTTTTCGTACGGAGCTTCTTTCTCGAATGAATCGATGTTAAATGTTTGTGGATCACGCGTACTGTTCGCCGCTGGCAAAAACAAATGTAACGAAGACTAGTCTATAACACAGTCGAGCGTCCCGTGCTCCACGAATCATTAACATCGTTTTATTCAAAAATGAAGCCCCCCACAAAAAAATGTCACTGTATATTTTTGATTTATTTTTCCACATAGATTCACCTCCTTTCGTCTTGTATAAGTATAATTAATCTATGGCATATTGATATTAACATAATATTTGTTATAACATTCAATGTAACATTCCTGCTATACAATGCATAGAACGGTAATTAAAGAAAGTCAAAACAAAATTTACAAAATAGCGTATCAATGAAAATTTGGTGTATATATACATATACATATATCACCGTTCCTTGCATTGCATCACGCGACAAGCATTACAAACTATTAATGGGTTGATGAATATAACGATTCCCGATTTCAAGAACGAAACAGATTGCTTCATGTCGTTTACTCAACTGAATATACATAATATAATTATGATAAACTATTAACAATAAGCGAACCCCCTTAATATCCTCTTATCGTAAGATTACCTCGTAAGCATAGCGAATTTATTGGCGCTAAGGATGAAATACATATACACAGCAACGATACATATGAATCATATAGGACCATGTTTTATGTATGTACATATACCTATGAAAAACCACACAGTAATAAGTATATGACATGTAAATAACACAGAAGTGAATGTTGACATTGTTGAAGGAAAATTAAGATTAAGAAAATGAATAGCGCACGAGTATATTATACGTGTATAATGTAATTGTAATGTTGAGCGGGACTACATTTTATATGATACGGTGTAAAGTAGTCTCAGAATGTAACATATTAAAACTGAAAAGACACGATGTTTAACCACTTGTCAAGCACTTATCTATACATAAGATAATATATTACAAAATAAGTGAATGTGAAACTTGCTCGTTCGTTAGATTTCTCACAACGAAATTCGAGTATTACTCAACTTTTGTTGAACTGTTAAGCTTTTGGGGATCCAACTATGCTTATCGTTTTGTCGAAATAATTACGAAAGTGTGTTAAATTAATGCAAGTACTATCTATACTCCCTTCATGATAAATTATATTCCATGGAGGGATCTGCTTTTCGAAATCTTTGGAATTTTTAACAATCTTCAATAATCGGACTTAATTAAAATGCTATAACAATTCACGTGACATATCTTTAAACACATTTTAGAAATTCACAGAAATTATTTTCATTTAATACATGCCAAATGTTAAATTAAGCACAAAAATAAATCCATTAAATTGGATAAATAAAAATTTGCCAATTTTTTGTAAAGAATCTAAATCTTTTAATAAACGTGCACAAATTTGTTTCGCTCGTAAAATACATATACCTCATATTTTTATATCGTGCATCAGTGTACGTCGGCCAATAAAATCATTAGCATATTTGCTTTTAACTTTATTAGTCTACGTTTTAACATTTTGTTTAAGTTCTGTTAAAACATAATATCATAATGAATAAGCGAATTTCCTTGCAATCACTTGACAACGTATGCCACGATAATCGAAGTTCCATGTCACAAATATTAGATGATAAACCCCGACAGCTTCGAACATGCCCTAAATTTAAATACAAGCTATAAACCTGCGCTTTTAAAACTATTATTGTATGCTGTGTCTACGCCCATGTAATAACAGATATAAACGTAAAAGCGAACCGTCATAATGTGCAATGAACGAAACGATTTAATTTCGCTTGCGAAAAGTGATTTTTATTCCATGTTTTTTGCGTTTCTTAGTTCATGTTCGTTTATTTATTACTCGGTTAAACTTTACTGCGTACAAAGTATAACCGATAATTTGAAGTGAAGTTACACACAGCAATAATAGTAATGTAATTGTGTCTCTATCGTTATTCAATACATGATCGTTTATCTTTTATATATATATATAAATTGTGAATAACTTGCCTTCGACAGATTAAAACAATAGAGTAACACATAGTATACAATTTGAAGATATCAAGACTACCTATTGGATGAATTGCGGTAGAGAACGAGCATGGTATTCGATACTATTAACTTCAGACAATAAACTGTTATTATCGATGTTACCTGATAAACTGTATTTATTGAGTTTCTATACCTCCCGTTTAATTGCTAATTAATCAATAAAATATTCAAATCGTTTTTTTTAACGTGTAAAATCAAGGTACTTTATTAATTGGCACATATGTACAATAATACTTTTTCTTCATTTTGCGATTGTCGATTTAATTCGTTTAACAGTTTTCACATGTCGTAAATTGTTTTGTTTCTCCCTTTCAAGATCTTCCTTTAGCTTTTCTAGGTGACTGGGATAATTTAGTGTATTTGCAATAGATTCTAACTGTAATTTTTCAATATCTGGCACCGTTTTATGAGCATTGGTCAACATGTGCTTAAATATTCCCACTTGTTTAGATGTAAGAACAGATATTGCTGTGCCACGTTTACCCGCACGTCCTGTTCTTCCTGCTCTGTGAATGTAACCATTAATATGTTTAGGAAGATCATAGGATATAACTAATTGCACATCTGGAATATCTACACCTCTGGCTAATGCATCTGAGCACACAAGACTGAAAATATAACAAAAATGTGACAAAACTTATAAAATACATTCCAAGTAGCTTAATCGTGTGATGATACATGAAACATACATTTGAGTTTCTCCATTAGTAAACTTTTTAAGTATATCTTCACGTTGCTTCGATATAAGTAGCGCTGATAGCTCTCCAACTGCTACATTTTCGTCAGATAAAAACGATCGAAGCAAAAGAGCCAATCTATGAGCGGTATCCCCGGAATTTGTGAACATTAATGTTTTAGGAAACGTATCCCTAACTAGCATCTGATACACAGCAACTGGTTTATACTCTACTGTGCACAATACTGCAAGTTCTGTTAGTTCTTCAGGACTTGTATAACGACCTATAAAATCGCCTACTTCCTTGTCTAAGTTTACATCTCCGTCTTTATCACGCACCAATACAGATGTAAACAATATTGGTTTAAAAAGCCCAAGACGGTTCAATTTCTCTGGATCTTGAGATAAAGTTGCACTAAATAATAGTTTCTGTGCTGGCATTTTACTATTTGGAAATTAAAAATATAATTATAAAATTGATTCAAAATGTAATAAATATTACGATAAATATTTATACAGGGTGCTCGGCCACCACTGGGAAAAATTTTAATGGGAGATTCTAGAGGCCAAAATAAGACGAAAATGAAGAATAATAATTTATTGATTACGCCTTCGTCAAAAAGTTATTAAAAAATTAAATTAAAAAATTTCAAATCATTCATCGAAAAAGTATTTTTGATTGTAGAGGTCAATTACAATCATTTTTTATGAATAAACATACCCCCGAATTCCTACGTACTTTCGAGAAAAAAATTCGAGGTGTGAAATTTTTCGGCAAAATTAAAATATTTCAAATCATTCTGGAAAAATTATTTTTGGTTACAGAGGTAAATTTTTGGTGGATATACATACACCCGAAATTCTACGTACTTTCGAGAAAAAAATTCTTTACCGAAAATATACTGTGTGGCCAGAAATGTTTCTAGAACTTTTTAACGAAGCCTCAATCAACAAATTAGTATCCTTAATTTTCGTCTTATTTTGGCCTCTAGAATCTCCCATTAAAATTTCCACCAGGGGTGGCCGAACACCCTGTATATTAAGAGAATAAGAATATGACAATATTGAAACATATCAAATTAGTGTGTAACTAATCGTTTAGTGCATAACATCTTTTATCCTATTTATTTAAAAAAATATATCCTGTTCATACTGCTTATGAATTCCCTTGGGTATGCTCTATCTAGATCATGTTCAGTTTTAGTATAACTTTAGTACCTCCCATTATAAATTACAGTAATTTACTTTCAACAAAAGTAATTAATCATGCATACAAATTCATTATCTACAAAATTAGTGTACATGTCATTTTTCAACAATGAGGCAAAGATAATTAAGAAATAATAATGTAAATAACAGTGGTTATTGCATTTATCTGAAAGACAGCTATTCAAATGGAGCTAAGTGCTTTAACACTTACTTTTATACAACCGTACCAATACATCAATAAATATGATATGTTTCATTTTATAAATGTACCAAAGAGACATATGAAAACAATATGAAAATAACCTGTTACGCATGTTGAGGAGTGTTAATCGCGGAACATTACGATGATGCTCAGGAAGATATTCTAACCAATCAGAAACTCTGTCTGCTTCATCGATAACAAGAAATCTGAGATCATCTAAGGAAAATCCTGGCGTTTTTAATATATGGTCTATTAAACGTCCAGGTGTAGCAACAATTACATCCGCTAAAGATACATATTCTCCTCTAAGGGCTTAGAAAATTGAACCAAAGATTTTATAATTTATGTAAGATACAAATAGTACATTAATCCTAAAACAGGCAAATACATACTCTTTTTACAAATAGAATTTTGTTCTTGTTGAAATGAAAATGCACCAGAGAGTAAAGCAACTCCCAGGCTTGTGTGGGATGTATATGCAACCATCACCTTATGAACTTGTGCAGCTAATTCGTGTACTGGTACAACAATTAAACACCGTATTTTTGGTACCAATCGACACTGTAATATATGCACAATTGGTATAACATATGCCAAAGTTTTACCTAGAGCACGAAATGAAATCAGAAATATAGATTACCACCCCCTTGTTACAATTTATTTCATAAATAATAATCTAACAATTAAAATTGTGCGGATGAATTCGCCCAATCCCGAGAATGTTCGGGACCCCAAAAATATCCGGGATTCCCAGAAGTGTTCATTTCTTGCTATTTTATGCAATTTTTATTCTACCCTCTATCTTTTACAATTCATAATCTTATAACAATTTTCTCCAGGTTGTGCATCTAAGCAAACTAGATAAATGGACAGTCTCAATATAAAAGTATTAAAAATACGAAATCCAAGATTAGTTTTGAGCGGAAACTAAGAACTCTAGAGATTCCGATGTTCGAAATGAGATAAAAAAAATTTACTTCAGATGGCTCCGGACGTGATTGTATCATTAACTACATTATTCAGGAATATTACTAACATAAACCTTTTCGATTAGCAAGATTTGTATATTTTCAAGAACGCGATGACCTTCGGCTTCTCGAAATTATCGAACGTATTGAAAAACCTAAAAATATCGGGAGTCGTGGTATTTTTGGGAATCTCGTCCTGATCCCGAAAAAAATTGCGGCCCCGATCGAGATCTCCATACCCAAAATAATAATACAGGTAAATTCTAATTAAGCATTATTTTAACACATTAGTAATGAGTGATGTACATATTCATCATCTGATTTTTCACTCTACCACCTTAAAATAAATTGATGAAATGCTATTAATGATTTAATTTCTTTTTAAAAATCTCATAACAGGTAATTAAAAATATATTTTCACTTTTATTATTTCGTGACTATCAATACTATAACTGTGTTAATATTAGAGTTAATATTCTTTTCAAAATTCGTAAAAAAATATGTTGATTTAGAGCAAAGTCACTAAAATGCAGATTTACCATAAGTTATTCTGACAAAATAGAGTCCTAATAATAAATCCATATACAGGGTGTTCGGTCACCCCAGGGAAAAATTTTAATGGGAGATTCTAGAGACCAATATAAGACGAAAATCAAGAATAACAATTTGTTGATGGGGACTTCGTTAAAAAGTTATTAACGTTTAAAGTTCCGCTTGTAGAACGGTAATCTGCGAACAGCTGCGTGCACGTGATAGTGATTCTCACTCAGAAAACTGTAAGGCTGTCGATACGTCACAAAGTAGAGTTTCTCATGCTGAGTGAAAATCACTATCGCGCGCACGCAGCTGTACGCAGGTTGCCTATCTACAGGCGCAACTATAAACATTAATAACTTTTTAACAAAGCCTCCATCAACAAATTAGTATTCTTGATTTTCGTCATATTTTGGCCTCTAGAATCCCCCATTAAAATTTTTCCCAGCAGTGGCCGAACACCCTGTATGTACAGTCATACACTGCAATAGTGCCCACTTAAATGACCACACTCGGAACCGACCTCGGTCACTTATGTGGGCATGGTTATTTCTCAGAATTCAACGAAGATAAGGAAAGAGGATAAGTGCGAGTGAGATACAATAGCTGGTACTCGAAACCATATAATACAATGTATCAATAACGACCGGTGTCAAGTTACGCTCGACACGTTCGATGTTCGAAGCCGCTTGACTTCTAAGAATTGGTGGGGATAACCACGGACACTTAAGTGGGCAAAAATGCGGTCACTTATGTGGGCACTACTGTACCTAGCATATATGTCTGACCATACTCATTAAAGAGTTAATACTATTAACTGGAACTGTATTACTAGAAAATTATTTACAACAAGAATTTTAATTGTATTAAATGGATGTATTCATACCGCTGCCAGTAGGAGCAGATACACATGTATCGCGTAACCACCATCCCTGCTGTCTGTCTTTATCGCATTTTAGTAGCCAAGATATCATACTAGCTTGAACCGGGAATAACTTATCGATACCATTGGTTGTTAAAACTTCGATCATTTTGGGATCTAAACTTGAATTAAATTCTTCTAAGCTTGGACCACTGCTTAAATCAATTGCTATAATTTCTGGATCCGCTAACCATTCTGGTAACATTCTCTTAACTTCCTGTTTTTTTCTTGAAGCTTTAGTACCCAGGATAATAAAATCTTTATATCGTTTCTGTGTTTGTTCTTGCACATTGTTTGAATCATTTAATTTATTAGACGATTCGTTTCCTTGATCACTTGCATTTCCATTTTCTTCGGTTTTAATTTCCTCTTTCTTCCTTTTCTTCCTTTTAGGCAGCTTTTTCTGATCTGCATCTTCCATCACACACTGTGATTCAATGTTATTTTGTTTATCTTCATTAATGGATATATCTTGCACTGGATCATTTTGAATTTTTCTTTTCTTGTGTTTCTTTTTTCTTTCTTTAAATTCCTTTGTATCTTTAGAATAATTTTTAGCTAGCTTCTTTCGTTTACGTTCTTCTATTCTTTTCAGTAATTCAGATAGATGTTTCTTTTCATTTTCTGTTTCCACCTTCTTTTCACCCTCATACCTATTAATATATAATACTCATTAATTACAAAAACTATATAACAAAGTTAAATAAAACAGTTTATGAAAACGAAGTACAAGTTCAAATCAAATTTAAAATAACAAAAACAATTTGAATATGAAAATATGTAATAAGATTAGTTAATATAAATAATCCTTCATTCGAACTAGTACTAGCTCATCATATTCTCCATTAAGTACACTTACCTATTTATTACGAATAAACTCATTTGTTTTAACAAAATTATCCACGTGCTGCAGAAGTGTATAGGTTATTAACTTGGTGTCATCATGGCGACCCGGTAACAACTTAATAGTTTTCGAGCGACCTCGTCGTTAAAGAACGGTGACCTTCCGAACTATATAGCCATTTCAATTACTGAAGTCGATAAAAACTAGGAAACAGAAAAATCTTTCTTCTTTTACATAATATCCAGGCACAGATGAAGTATCGTCAAACAAATGAATCAATTGATACCCAATTCTGGGCCGTACAGTTTTTATTCCGTTAAAAAATAATACAGTTTCTGTAATTTCATTTACCGTGTCACTTCCTCTCGTGTTTTTGTATGAATTTTGTCTTAATTTTTCGCGTTTACTTTTCCAGGGTAGAGTTGCGTGCAAAGCTAATCACGGTTTGCAGTAGCGTAGCGAAAGATGATTGTTGATCTCGTTGCAAATTTTATAATATGAACTTACTTTAATAGCGATTGCTTTTAGAGTTGCGAATTATTGCACTTTTCGCGTTTGCATTTCAGAGTAGGATTCAGGAATCACGAAATGTAATTCTTAACAATCTGGGAGGACAACTGCACCATCAACATCATTATAGTTAGCGTTGCCTATTATTTAACATAGATGCACCTCATTTTATTAGAGTTACGAACAACTAAGCTCCCTTAGGTGGCTGCTTTCGGGAGATTTTTTATTTTTACAATTATTGAAGCATCTCGCGATTGTTTTTGAGAATTTTTTAATTAGTAAATTAGAGTTGCGTGTAACGAAGCACCCTACGTGGCTGCTCTCGGGAGATTTTTCAATTTATATTTATTAAAGTAGCATTGCGATATGAAAAATAGTCCACTCACGGTTTGTCTACAATTTATCACGAGTGGACGATATTATTTTTTCTTTTTACCATATTTCTTATATTAGAAATTGTGAGTTTATCGACAGAAATACTATAAAAAAACGTGCACGTATCTGAAATAAGATATGATTAATTTTAAACAAATTATAATTAAAATGTACAATTTTTGTAGATTCTACCATTTTAGTATATATTTGATGCATTTATAAATTTATTTTATCGGGTAACGATGATGATAATAAATTTGTAGCTTTTTGTTATCAGAGTTGTTACGAAATATAGTACTTTTTTTCAACCGCAGTTGTTTTTCAATTTCTTGCAAGCATGTAGTATATATTTTTATAAATATTCTGAATTCTATCAAAGATTAAAGTTTGTTCGCGATCTTTGTTTCTAATTAAATGATAAGTAAAATGCTTGCAATAAAAAGGTATACAAATGCAATTCAAAAGTTTATATTGATAGAGTCGGTATTAACGCGTGGTCGTTAGTAGATCTTTTTTTATGAAAATAATTTAGATTTAAATGCAGGAAAATATAGTTATTCTAATTTAAATGACTAACAATATTTTCGAATTACGTCGAATTATTTTTAATGAATAATGCATAAATGAAAATTTACATGTACATTGTACATTGTTTAATCTATTCTTTTTTTACCTTAACACTGACATTAAATAATATGATTTTTATTTTACTATTATTTGATAACACGTACACGGTACTTGTATTCTAGGTTTATTATTAACGTTGAAATGTCTTGTTTCAGGTGCCAAATTTTTGTTTGTTCTTTTACTGATCAATTAAACTCTGTTACAGAGCATTCCTATGGAAGTTCTAGGTTTACAGAAGTAAGAATTAAGAATTGCTACAATTTTGTTTCATATTGCTTTGTTTGTGTTTCTGGAAATCATCGTGGGATAAATAGAAGATAGAATATAGAAAAAACAAGAATATATATATACATATATATTAGCATGTATTTTGTTTCATATTTTTTGGCTTATGCTTCAGAAAATCATCATGAAACAAATGGCAGATACATCAAAGAAGTATATATTTTAACGTATTTTGTTAGATAATTAGATAGACAAGAAATTAGATTTATAGATAGGTAGGATATAAACAAATTTATATTTATAGATAGGTAGAATATAGACGATTTTAGATAGGTAGGATATACACGAATTTAGATTTAAGGTTAGGCAGGTGTTTGGTTGTTTACATTAACTATTATATCAGGCAGGCAAATTCTTTCGAAAACTCTTTCGTTGGTTGTACATCTTTCATCGATTGCACTTCCATTTGTTTCTTTTTTCACCAACGATCATTGATCACAGAAGATCTTTATTAATGGAGGGTGGTTGGGATTTGGTTAGGGCGGGTCTCCATTCGCAGCAACCTCCACGTGGTGAGACCTGGGTTATATTATTTAGCGTTTAATTAATAACCGTATCACTCTTAGCTGGGTAATGCAATTATTAATTAAAAACTAAATAATATTAGCAAATTGGTTGCAATCCGCTTTGCATAGGTCATCATAAATATAGAACTTCTTCGCTAGGCTAGTTTTGATACTCATTGATTCATCAAAGATTCTAGAGTATTGTCAGAAACGAGGTAATAGATCTTTCACCCAATGTATTTTTTCGGCCCATTTTTCTTGGGCTCTAGAGCCCCATTACCATTTCCGTGTCACTCGCAACATTACCAATAGATTCAAAAATGAATTTTAATCCCTTCCATAGTCAACTCACATGTACTTACGCATACACTACAGCTGTCTGCCCATCAAGCTAATTCAATGAATAGTTTATCAACTGACCGCCATCCATGAGAAGAGGCCGCTAAAATCACCTCCGAATTTTCAGATCGGTATAGCAGTCAGATTCGGCCGCGAAAGTCCATAAGGTGAAAAGTCTACTCGTATACCTCGTCTGTACTATCATCACGAATCCGAATTTTGAGATCGGTATGGCAGTCAGATTGGGCCACGAAAATCCATAAGTTGTAAAGTCTACTCGTATACTTCGTCTGTAGTACACACGAAGTTTATAAATCAGTGTTTGGGACTCTAATGCGAAAACGTGATGCGTAGCTCAAGTTTCTTACCGAAACCGTGATGATTGTCTTTTTCAAACCCTCTCATAATTTAATCTCTCAGAAAATTAAATGGAAACTAACGGATGGGGTAATAACGAATACGAAGCCCAAGAAGCGTCAACTCTTTCATAATTGTATTTATTTAAGGCTAATATACAGTAACTTCTAAGACATAATCATCTCCTAGATGAACATTGATTTCTCGATTAGTAAATTGCATGATGTTCAATTCAACCAATTATCGCGGTTAATATTCGTATCTCTGTACCTCGTGATAATACGTTAACTGCCTATGTGGTGAAGCCGTTTTACGCATAATTATTCTCGTCGTACTTACAAACGTTTTAAGTAGTCATTTTTTTTTTTCGTCTGTGATCGATTCATGGACAAACGATAAGCGACTCGGAGAAAAAGGGAGGGTTGAGGACATCGGAGTCGTATCGTTTTACTTTGAGCAAGGAAGCCTCGAGTTCGATTCGATGGTTAAATTGCCTGTAAATATTGCGCGAATCAAATAGATCTCAACTTTATTTCGAAATTATCGTTCCAACTATGACTTTTCGATTTTTTAAAAAACAAAAACTAAACTATATTCGATTAGGCCAGTGAAGAGAACGTCATCATTTTTTCAACTGTACATCCGCTGCATTTCATCTTTAACCCCTTGACTCACGATTTATTTTCCAGCAGACTATTTAATTGGTCGCAATATTATTATAAACATTATTTATTTTCCAATCTGTTCCCAAACATATTAAATACTTTAACCCTTAACTGGTAGTGTGGGATATTTTCATTACATTTATTTACAATTAATATTGTGCTCTATTATTTCGTGCAACCGACTGAACAAAGACAATAATAACAATAATATGTTTTATTTAGGGGTCAGATTCCCCTTGTATACAAATAATACAGTATAAACAAACGAAACGACTGAGGAAAATCTACAAAGATTACGTCAGTTGTAATGATAATGCTCTATTGTCTAAACTACACAAAAAGATCATTGCTTTTTATTTTTATGCTAGTTCCGTTTCGATACCATTTAAGGGTTAAATATTTTATCGACTCAAAAATCGGGTTTGGATAAGTCGTTTCACTCAAGGGGTTAAGTGTTTAAGAACCAAAGACTAGTAAAGGAATTGAAAATTTCTAAGTAAACTCGACGATGAAGAGTAAAGCAATAACATTTCGTCGTAATCGTAAACGCTTCTCGAGATCATATCTTGCTCCCGAAATACACGCGGCTGGTAAAACTTGTATAATTGAACCACCAACCGTAAGAAGTACTATGGGAAACAATTTTTAAAAACGAACGGCTATTAGAGGTTCACTAAACTCTTTCGAAAGAGGCTAAAAATTGTGAGGTAGTGAAGTCCATGTATTGAGTAACGGTGCAGGTTGCAGCTCGGATCTAAATTACAGTCGAATCCATAAAAAAGGGCTTGCAAGGTGAGATTGTCTAAAGGAACGTAGTCAACGCCGGGAATCATCGAACGACAGCAACGATTACTCGCAATAGTTCTACGTCCACCGTCGATGACCAATAATAAAAGTACATGCTAACAATCACTCTTTTTCTCCCTCACTTTCTCTCTGTCGGGTTTCTTTCTCGTGTTTGTTTATCTGCCATGTATTTATAAGTTATGTTTCACATACATATATGTATATATTATATACAGGGTGTGTCTGGACGGGTACTGCAACCGCGCAGACAACGATTCTAGTTTTAAAAATAAACTGGAAAAAAAGGAATAACATTTTCCCATTCAACGCTTTGAAGACTTAAACAAAGTCGGGCAAATTTTATTTTCGAAAAACGAATGAAAATGTTTGATTCGATCGTAAACCAGCTTTTGCACACGACTTACCGGTTCAACGAAACGTAGGTAGAAATTAGGTTACTGGTCGATCGAAAATTCGTATTCGTTATTCCCACGAATAAACTTTGTAAACTTTAGTGGTATGAATTTTCAAAGTTGGTTTAATCGAAGAAATGTTATTCTATTTCTGGTTATTTTTACAGGTATAATAATAATGGCCGTCTGCCAGGCTGCACCACCCGTCCAGTTACACCCTGTATATGTGTATTTATGTATGTATATATGCATAGTTTAATCTTACATCGACAATTCGTAATAATTTATGTACATATACACTTATATACGTAGATACACATGTTTACCCGCTGATATCGCGAACAGTGTCCTCCGCATCGTCTCTTCGGGACCGATCTTCTCAGCCTAGGGTCAACTACGAGGAATACGCACGGAGACTCGCGGTTTAGTCAAGATCGATGCCTTAATCTATATTTAGATATAGAAATAAATATTCCAGAGGCTGTTACCCAGCTCCTTATCGGTCTACGGTGTTCGTCATAATCGCGACGATCGGAACAGAGCAGAAATGACGGATACTGACCCTAACAAGAGCTACGCGGGACTTGCGAATAGCAACGTTTGAACGCGTTAACTGCGGGGAAAAAAGGAACTAGCGTTGCGCCTCGTTTTCGTCAAGGAAGGAAAACACAGAGGCGAATTAAACAACTCGATCGTTAAAAGAACGCGGCAGCAGTTAACCCGTCAACCGTTCCGTTCGCCGATCGAACATTCCTTCCATCGTCGACTTGTTTCCCTTCTACCACGTACGATCAAAGAGAAACCTAATTAGTTTAGTTGCAGAATGAATTGGGTTACGGTTTCACGTGGACTTGCGTGCAACCCCCGGCGTTTTTCACCGGAGTTTCCATTCGTCTGCCTTCGTTTTACGGGCAAGTTTACCTTTCTTTTTTTTTTTTGTTACTCGCTTAAGATTAAATGGAAAATTCGTATTGCGGTACGGTACGGAGAGGCTCCCTTTACATCACGCTGTGGATTTCTTTCAGGTTACCGACTAGCGCTGCACCGGCGGTCTGGGGGCCGCTCGCACCGCCTGCAGCGCCTCCTGGTGCAGCGGCCGGAGCGGCGGCGGCTGGAGCAGCTGGTATCTGAGCTGGTATGCCCGGTGGATAAGCGTAAGGTGGCGGTGGTGGTGTCGATTCTGGCATGAATTTCGCTGTAAAAGCAAAGTACAGAAATTAGTCCAGCGAATGTTTCACAGTAATTTTGTAATTGGTGCACTCCGATGGGAAACGACTCTGCAGGAAACGATATTAGGCCGTCTCCATACGCAATGTCGTCTCTTACATCTTTCTTTTATCCTACACCACACAGGAAGAATATAAATGGTGGTGCAAACAGTCTCTCTGGGGAATGGAAGCTTTTCTTACTTCAAGTTTCTGTAGTTTTTGAATAACTATCATATTGAATGTGTTGAATACTAGTAATGGAACCCATGAACTTTTCTTTAATACTATAATAACACTAAATTCATATACAGAATGCTTGACTCAATCGGGAAAAGCTGTATCTTTGAAACAGTTAGAGGATGATGCACAAACTGAACTGTAATTTTATTCATTTGTATGCATCTGAAAGGTGAAAACATCCTTTTTTTAAATGGAACTGTATGGGTTTGATTGCACTATTTGATGCAGATTTTTAATCTCTGCAAAAAATTATACTTATATCCCAAACCTAATAGTTTAAGGGTTATATTAAAGTTTATTAAATCTTTAAAATTTAATGCACTTTACAGATGTTATGGGATATTCACAGTCGAAATATTTTTTCATTCCTTTCTGTACATTAGTTAACACTTTTGTTATGTCTGTTTTTGTAATCTTTGATACTTCTGAACAACTACGATAGTAGTAATGGACACCATGAACTCTTCTTGAATACTATAATAATGTTTGACTGATTTTGCCAGAACACGACATTACTTATGGGATGACCTAATTCATTGAAATGTAGAGTAACATTTTCTTTCAGAAGCTATTGTTTTTAAGAAAATCTTTTGTTTCTGGAGAACTAAAACATTTACTGTTTAGAGCTGGAAAGATAATTGGCACAGGGGTAAGAAGAATATCCCGTACGCTCTGATTTAATAATTATGAGATGCTTGCACCACGATATAACAAGAAGATAGATATAACACGAATCAGAAAATTCTATGTATCTCATCTTTCCAGCTGTGTACAAGATTGCAGGAAATATGCAATAACTCGAGGAATAATAACGATTATTGTACTAAAATTATACTATGTTGTCTTGAAAAATGAGTAATCGCACGAGAAAAATTTAAAAATCGCCTAAAACCGACTTTCCCAAATGGGAGTAGCCCCTTAAATCAAAAGGAAAGTGGAACAAAAGAGGAGTTATGTATCTGTCTGTTCATTGGAGATCGATGTCACGCGTACAGAATAAAAGGAATCAGCGACTATCAATGTGTTCTTCTCGAAACTATAGTCGCGCCAAAACACGTAAAACTGTTTTGGTCGATACTGGAGTGTAAGAAGAGAAAAATATTTGTAAAAAAAAATGATGAAAAAAATGAACATTCGGTGTTCTTACCTCCTACTGGACTTAAAGAGATACTAGGTTTTAAAAGGATCCTCTTCTCTGTAGGTGTAAAGGAGCATTTTTTAGGTCAAGGAGATCGACCGTACGTTCGATACTTTTCTGACCAAGACCGTGATCAAGATGCAAATCCCTTCGCTGACTTCGCTCTGTGATTTTGTCGCTTGACAATTAATCGAATGGTCAAAGAAAATGATGGAACAAAATTAAACATCGAAGAACTTAATACGCTGTCGGGCAAAATTATAAGTTCAGCTCATTTTTTGGCGTTTATAAATAAAACTGTTTGCAAGATTACATAAAAATAATAGTACCAAATCAATGTCTATATTACTTACATGTGAATTATTACGACTATTTAGAAGAATTTTGTTTTCTAATTGGACAAATGTATATAAGTTCACCTATAGAAAACAATTAAAAATGTTTCAGAATACGAAGACACAATACAGCGCTTCCGCGTTAAATCACATTTATGGAAAGGGAACAACGTTCTTTGTGTTTTGTCGAACGTAGAAAGAGATAAAGAGCGAAAGACAAACTGAAACAGCTAAAAATAAAAAAAGTTTTGCCATTTTCGTTAGCATTAATCGCTTCACTGATTCCAAGGTTGATTCTCCTAGCAGGGGGGATAAAATTTTCACATATAACGAGATATGCTTTCGCGCATTTATAGTGGGTATGAGTCCGTAAACCTCGAAAATGCAGTTGCATGTTTTATAATAGACACGAGCATTTGGTTTCGATTCAACTATCAGGTGAAGAATAGAAATTTGAAAGCATGATATTTCAGTGTCTTCCATTTTGTTAACGACACCCCATATACACGTGTATTTAATTTTTAATCGTTGTCCACGGAATTCACCGCGGGTCGTATCATTAAATTATTCCTGCGCTATTATTATTGTTCTTATCCTATTATCATTATCATTATTATTGTTGTTATTATTATTACTATTATTATTATTATTATTAACATGTATACATAACATCTGTAGATAATTCTTCAAGCCTTAAAACGAACCTATATAAGTGCTCCGAGCGAGCCTCGAAACGTCTCTCATCTTTTGTTTTCTCGTTTTTTCATATTATTTTAATTTCCCGTTTTGTTGTTCTTCGCTACGGCGGTTCCCACTTTCAAGTAACGATGTCGGGACCGCAGTATTCGCTTAGAAGCAGAGTAAATGGCGATTTTTATTTTAAGACCTAGATTAACCCCCGGGGGCCAATTTGACCTATTTGCTTATTTTTAAATTTTGGTGTTTGATAAATAACGAACAGAGTTAACAAACACGATGATGCGAAATTTAATTCAGAAAACTTATTCTGGATAGCGAGACGAAGTTTAGATTCGAGTCAAAATGGCCGCCGTTCAAGGGTTATCACGTTGACTGCCATGGTGGTCACTGGCGACCCGCACGATAAAGATTATTGCATGAAAATTAAAACTTTTAAGCTGTTGCTGTATCATTATACAATAATTCTTTATTTTAAAAATCTAAAAACGTCTAAAATCGACGTTTGAACAAAGGTTGAGGACGTTTCCAACTATGAAAAATTAGCGTGGCAGTCAATGTGTTGATAAAGATCGCTCTGGCGAATCAATTATATTGGTCACACGCACTACGTAAACAGCGTGATAATTCAATTATTTTATTCAGAATGAAATTGTCACTTGAAAGCGACGAGTACCGTCCTTCGATTCCTCGTTTCATGGCGTAATTTGCTTGGAAACGCTGTATCTTCGACAAAAGCAGGTCTGTCGCTACGTCCTTCGATTCTCTATTTATTATTTTATTTTTTCCCAATCGACGGAGAAGGATACGAACGCGAAATAATAAATTATAGTTCCGAATACCGGTATATTTCGAGGTATCGGTATCATACCGGTATTTATATACGTATTTTACTATTTTCGTAGCTGTATTATGCCAGCAAAGCTATAACGAGACCGATATATTACCGAAAACTGAAATAAATACCAGTATTATTTCGGTATTCCGATCGTGGAAATTGTCAGTCTGAATTGTCTTGTCGCCTATCTTGAAAATCGATCTTCGTATGTTTTCACATTCCCTTAACAAGTCTCCAATCCTATTATAGTATTCGATAAATTAAATCTGGAACTTTGATTTTGAAATTACAACAATTACAATAAGAAAATAGCATCGAGTTTAGGTCGCTATGAAAACATATCTTGAGAATTGCAATGAAACTGAAAAAATTACCGGTAAATGTAGGTAAAATACCGGTATTTCAAGTACCAGTATCCCTGGTCAAAATACCGATATACATATACATATACCGTTACTATACCGGTATTACTTTGGTAAATACAGACCCCAAACATTGAATAACAAATAAAAATAAAAATGTAATCGATTGGCTTGCACATTAAACGACGGTCTTCCCAGGTTGAGTCCACCATTCAGAAATATTATCACACGGTATTCACATCACAATACCGTAAAGATCAGACCCGACACAGTTTATTTCCATTGTTCAGAAATCGATAACATTTACGTTTTACGTTTCTATAACCGTATTCTTCGTATCTATTAAAATTTCAATTCGTGATGCCTGTTTCCTAACGGTTTTCATCGGTATTATACCGAAATACGTCGGTGTAACATCGATTTGTGTGGCATCGTACCGGTATTCGTAACATTCGGTTTTTTCGAAGGTAACAAAACGACTATCTAAAAATACCGGCATTTCGAGTACCAGTATGAATCCCTGGTCAAAATACCGAAATATATATCGTTACGATACCGGTATTACTATGGTAAATACAGACCCCAAACATTGAATAACAAATAAAAATAAAAATGTAATCGATTGGCTTGCAAATTAAACGACGGTCTTCTTAGTTTGAGTCCACCGTTCAAAAATTTTATCACACGGTATTCACAACACAATACCGTAAAGATCAGACCCGACACAGTTTATTTCCAAGGTTCAGAAATCGATAACATTTACGTTTTACGTTTCTATAACCGTATTCTTCGTATCTATTAAAATTTCAATTCGCGATGCCTGTTTCTTAACGGTATTCATCGGTATTATACCGAAATACGTCGGTGTAACATCGATTTGTGTGGCATCGTACCGGTATTCGTAACATTCGGTTTCTTCGAGGGTAACAAAACGACTATCTAAAAATACCAGTATTTTGACGGTATTCGTGACACCGATTCCGTCTATGTTTCGACGTTAGATCGGTCGGTGAACAGCGAGGTGTTCTCAAAAATCGTGAGCGGAAAATGAAAATATGGCCAGCATTCGTCCATTCGCGAAACGTTGAGAGATATTCGATCGCGATCGACCGGAAACCTGGAACCGGAGTCGAAGCTGCGAAAAGAACCATGATCGTCGCTTTCTTCGATGTATCCACCCCGTGTAGGACGAAACCATCTCCAAATATATTTTCTTTGAACATCGAAGATCCTCTCCAAGCTGTTTCTCGACAATCGATGAACGATGGACAACGTATATCTTTTCTTTATTTCCACAGTTCTTTCTAAATCTTCCTTCGATCAGACTCTATTTTTCTAACACCTCGTTCCCGTCGTTGGTCGATACTTTTTATTCGAA